GCCTTTAATCATCTTAGCTGCTCTTCTCTGCACTCTTTCTGGAGTCCTTTGTTGTTATTATGATTATTATTACTTCATTGTTTTGCATGTACACTGAGAGCTTATGCACCACCGGAGACAAATTCCTTGTGTCTCTAATCCCACTTGGCCAATGGGATAAACAATTAGCAACCAAAAAGCTTGTATGGTTTTCCTATACAAATGAAACCAGGCTGGCAAGGTAAATACACAGCTGAAGCCTTTCAATGGGCAGTGATGTTCCACTCTGGGTCATGTAGAAAGGCATAAGTAAGTAAATATATGAATAATAAATCTATATATATATATATAAAAGCGAAATACCATTCATGCATCATCACAAAATCTCCAGAACCGTCAAGCCTACAAACTTGAAATTTAGCCCGTAGGTTACTCTTGGCTTCTAGGGGCTCACTAAGAAAGGATTTTTTGAAATGACCATCAGAGCATTAGTATTTACTATATTATTATTATTAACACACTCTGATGCTGAGGAGTTCTATTCCCCCTCCCCACCTGGAAAGAAAACTCTTCCAAATACAAAACACAAGCAGAGGAGAGGAGTTTCAGTTGTAGTTTCAGTTTCAGAGCACCAAGCAGCTTTAGTACAGAAGAGTTGAGCTAAGCCACACTCAGGCTCCTTGCTGTCTCCTTCTTGCTCAGCAAATACTCTTTCAGTTTCCAAACAGCCCTCAACTCTCTCACACACTGACAGGACACTAGCCAGATGAATACCAATGGATGCTGGTAGACAGAGGCAGAATTTTTTCCCCCTTATTTTCCTCCCCAAAAACTAAGCCCGACCACATAATTTCATAGCGAAGCACGGGAATCGAGTTAGTCCTTAATATTTGCCGCAGGCCATATAAACACTGAAAGGCAACCATTTCAAAAATATTTCTGGACAAGCAAAGTCACAATTTGGGGGAAGTCAGATTCACTTAACAACCGATTGTGGCAAGGGAGGTTGTAGAATGGGGCAAAACTCACTTAACAAATGTTTTGCTCAGCTATTTTGGGCTCAATGGTGGTCGTTAAGTCGAAGACTCCCTGCAACCAGTCCTTAAAACAAACCACACCCATATTGGGTTTCTGAGACTATTTTGTAGATATGAGAATTCCAAGCGGGCGGGAGGGTTAATATTTGGAGAAAGCTCAACAAGCAGTAGAAATCCTTTCCCCTTTTAATGCATGATGACATATTTCCTATCAGGAATTAAATGTTCTGTCAAAACCTGTGTGGTTTAAAAGCACAGCAAATAAATAAACAATTCTTTCCATGTTGATTAAAAGCTCTCCTTTCCGTTTGGCTGTGTGTCTGTTTCTGTTGTGGACAGAGGTCTCAAAGAAAATGCAAGAGAAAAACAATGCACGCTCTGATTTTTTTTTCCTTTTAATAAAAGAGATCCAGCTACACTTTTTTTTGGCATTTTGCAACAGTGCCCTCATTCAAGCAGTTGGGCCCAGAGAGCGAGAGAGAGCGCTGGAGCATCCAGCAAACAGAGCCTCAGAGAATGAGAACAAAACAGATGTGAGAAAAATAAACAGCGTCCCCGTCTTGGAA